CCCCCCCCCTATAGGGAAACGAGCTCTATACACCGACGCTTTTTCCGACCATGCGATGAAACTCGCACAGGAACGCGGATCCTGGTGTATACGGGATGCTGGTGTACACATGTTTCGTCACTTCCCCAGGAAAACGGGGGAACAACTACACACCACACCACCCCGACGTCGTCCCCGACCCTCAAAAAGTCCAGGCATGGACAGACAGCACGCCACTGGCAGTGTATATGCTCCGGTTTCCGACCCTAGTCATCACCCCCCTGTTTTCGGGTCGGGCGAAAGGGGGGGCTAGCAAAGGGGGGTTTGAGAATCAGCTCACGTAGCTGATTTTCCCGGCGCCGGGAGGCGACCATGTACCGAGGAGTGGGCCCCTCGGCGGGGCCGAAACCAGCTGCACGCAGCAGATCTCGTAACCCCCCCTTTCCCAATCCCCCCCTTTCGTCCGGGCCCGATCCTTGCCGCCCCCGAGACGGGCCGGCGCCCGAAGCAGGAGCTCGGATCGCATCGGAATCTGTGTCGGATCGGGCCGCAGCGGCGCGACGGGCCGAGGCCGAGCCGCCCCGGCCGCGCCCGGGTGCGCAGCGACGCCGCGTGCCCGCGCGTCGGGCCGCACCCGCCCGTCGGGCAGCAGCGGAGTCGAGGCGGGCGGGGCAGGCCGGAGTCGGCGTCGAAGCGGATCGGTCGGGTCGAGGTGGCCCCTGCCTTCCCAGACATCCCCCCTCTCCCCTCCTCCTCCTCCTCCTCCTCCCCTCCTCCTCCTCCTCCTCTCCTCCTCCTCCTCCTCCTCCTCTCCTCCTCCTCCTCCTCCTCCTCCTCCTCCTCCTCCTCCTCCTCCTCCTCCTCCTCCTCCTCCTCCTCCTCCTCCTCCTCCTCCTCCTCCTCCTCCTCCTCCTCCAAGGCAAGCCTGGGCTGTCAGCGGCCCCCAGGCGGCCCCGATCCCCTCCCCGGCGGAGGGGGGGGGGCAGTTCGTCGCCCCTGGCCCCTTTCGAATGGCCCCAGGGCCCCAAGACAACCCCCCAGGGGCCGAAGTCGAGGAGAAACACAGACCCCCGACGCAATGATTTTTTCATTACGTCGACCCCAGAGTTCTCGACCCCTTCCCCAGGACCGGTTTGTCACCCTGAGTCGTTTTTTGACGCTCCCGAGGCCCGGTGAGGGCCCCCAGAGGCCGAAAATGACGAAAAACCTCCCGTCATGATTTTTTCATTACTCGAGGGGGTCTGGGGTCCGCCCTGGCCAGCTTCTCGAGCCGCGCTCCGCTGTGGCGGCGAGAGGCTCGACGGAGCCGCACCCCCAAAGCCGCCGAGGCCACGCGCCGCCGAAATGCGCGACGGGGCCGTCGCCGGGAGCGGAGGCCTTCGCCGCTCGGTCGGCGCCTTCCTGGGATCCCAGGAAGCCGACGATGGGACTCTCTCAATCGCGCCGTTCCCGACCTGCTCCGTGGCGGCCCAGGGGTCCCCTTGGGCCCCGCGAGGGCCCCCCGGAAGCCGACCAGGAGGAGGAGGAGGAGGAGGAGGAGGAGGAGGAGGAGGAGGAGGAGGAGGAAGGAGGAGGAAGGAGGAGGAGGAGGAGGAGGAGGAGGAGGAGGAGGAGGAGGAGGAGGGAGGGAGGAGGAGGAGGAGGAGGAGGAGGAGGAGGAGGAGGAGGAGGAGGAGGAGGAGGAGGAGGAGGAGGAGGAGGAGGAGGAGAAGGAGGAGGAGGAGGAGGAGGAGGAGGCAGCCTCGCGGCGCCGAACTCGGGCCGCGGGGCCCCTCGCGGAGAGCGATGCAGGCGCAGGACAGGGCGCAGGAAGAGACCTCCTCCTCCTCCTCCTCCTCCCCTCCTCCTCCTCCTCCTTCCTCCTCTCCTCTCCTCCTCTTCCTCCTTCCTCCTCCTCCTCATCGTCCTCCTCCTCCTCCTCCTCCTCCTCCTCCTCCTCCGCCTCCTTCCTCCTCCTCCGCCCCCGCGATCCAGCTCGCATCCAGCGATCCAGGTCCGGGGCTCCGGGCGTGATGTCCCACCATGCTGTCATGTTTTCGCCACGTCGGATCTCAAGGAAAGACCTCCGTCCTGATTGCGGTGGGAGCATTCGATGAGTAACCAGCAGATACGGGATCCAGGGTCTGGAGGCCGGTGCAACTCCCCTCGAGGCTTGGCCATGGATATCACCGCGGCCCTCATGAGATAAGGAACCCTCCAGGGTCTGCAGCCTCCTGGGCACATTCCTTCCCAAACATGCGACGTCCTTTTTTTTTTCAGGACGGCGTCCCTGGAAGTCCCGACCCTTGCCCCGGGACAGGTTTTTCGTCCTGATTCGTCTTGTGACGGTCCCGAGGTCCCGGCGAAGGCCCCCCCGGGGCCGAAAATAGCCATAAACCTCCCGCCCTGATTTTTTTTACGACGCGATCATGTCTGGGTTTATCAACGCCCCCACCGTGGTGACAGTCAATCCATGGGTCATCCTCGCGAATCGGTTCGGGCGTCGGGAAATGGGGGTGCGATGCATTGGGGTGTGCCTAAGGGTGCACCTTTTGTGCCCGAAAGGGGCCCTTGAAGGGGCCCGCTGGGGCCCAAAAAGGGCAAGAAAGGTGCACGTTGCTCATTTCGAAAAGCTGGATGTATGGGAGAGGGTCCTGCGCACGGCGGCACGGCGGCTCTGCGCGGTGGCTTGCGCGAGCCGCCGGCGCGGCACACCACGCGGCAGCGAGGGAGCTCGCGCGAGGCCCTGCGCGGGCAGCCTGCGCAAAAAGGCCCGCGCGGGCGACCCCGCGCCCTTTCTTCCTATGTGTTTGGTGCTACGTCGCTCACACTACGCCGTGACATTACATACATACCTATATACATATATATATATATATAGATATGTGTATATATACATATATATATATATATATATATATATATACACATGTGTATACATATATATATATGTATACATACACGGACACACAGACCAAAACATTCCGACGTCTCGATTTTTTCGAGACGCGGGCCCCCGACCTCCCGACCACTTCCCTGGAACCGGTTTTTCATCCCGGGTCGTTTCTTGACGGCCCCGAGGCCCGGCGAGGGCCCCGAGAGGCCCAAAACTGTGAAAAACCCCGGTCTCGATTTGTTCGAGACGCCCGATGTCTGGGGACATCCCGCGATGGACCTTCCCAGACCCCCGACGTAATGATTTTTTCGTTACGTCGACCCCAGAGTTCTCGACCCCTTCCCCAGGACCGGTTTGTGATCCTGAGTCCTTTTTTGACGCTCCCGAGGCCCGGTGAGGGCCCTCAGAGGCCGAAAATGGCGAAAAACCTCCCGTCGTGATTTTTTCATGACTCGAGGAGGTCTGGGGATGGACTTTGCGTGCACCACACCGATCCTCACCGGGCCCCCCCCTGCGGCCCCAGGGGCCGGCCGCCCTCCCAGCTTGGCCGGGAGGCCGCGCACCCCGACCGCCCGGGGGCCCGGGGCGGGCCCGCCCGGGGACAGCTGCAGGCGCGCGCGGGTCCCCAGGAGGAGGAGAAAAGGAGGAGGAGGAGGAGGAGGAGGAGGAGGAAAGGAGGAGGAGGAGGAGGAAAGGAGGAGGAGGAGGAGGAGGAGGAGGAGGAGGAGGAGGACCCAGAGATCCGACGCCGTGACTTTCTCGGTGCGCGGTCCCCGGAAGTCTCGACCCCTTCCCCAGGCCCGGTTTTTCATCCCGAGTTGTTTTCTGACGGCCACGAGGCCCGGCGAGGGCCCCCAGGGGCCGAAATGTGCGAGAAACCTCCGTCTTGTTTTTTTTTGTTTTCAACACGTTGGATCTCTGGGGTTGGACGCCCCCCCGACCTCGAGCCCATCGCGGCGCTGAAGCCCGCGGAGCGGCGGTGATTGAAAAAAGAACCTGGGGGGTGTGCCTGCCACTCGAGCTGCGGTGGCTGCACAAGAAGGAGGGGACTGGAAGACGGAGGAGGAGGAGGAGGAGGAGGACGAGGAGGAGGAGGGAGGAAGGCAGCCTCGGACGCCCGAAGACCGAAGAACAGAGGTCGTCGTCTGGTGGTTGTCAGGCCTCTGCGGGCTCTCGCGGGGCCGCTCGGACGCCCTCTTCTTCCTCCTCCTCCTCCTCCTCCTCCTCCTCCTCCGCCTCCTCCTCTTCTGCCTATTCGTCGTCCTCCTCCCTCATCCTCCATCTCCCTCCCCCTCCCCCGGCCCCGCCTTCCTCTCCTCCTCCGATTACTCCTCTATCGCCCCCTCTTGGGGTACGACGGCCTCCCCAACCCCTTGTGCCACGACATGCTCCTCCACATCCCTGATCAGGGCAACTCGTCTGGGCATCGTTTCTAGATCGGCTAATGGGGTTACTTTTGGGTCGCGGGAGCACGAAGAGAGTCGGACGCCGAGCAAGCAGGGGCAGGCTGTGCCGCCTGCAAGGGAGAAGCTCATGGTTTTTTGGCCGCAATCGCAAACGAAGGCGCCGGCGGCGTCACAGGTCGGCTCGGGCTACGAGCACAACTAATTGACTAGCGCGCGCAGGCAAGCAACAGCGAAACCTACCGCCGGGGGGAGCTGGGCTGCGCCGAGGGCAGAGGCTGCTACCGCCGGGGGGAGCGGGGCTGCGCCGAGGGCGGAGGCTGCAAGAGCGGCCGGCGCTGCCAGGAAGATGTGCAGGCGTGCGGACACCCCAGGGACGAGACCACCAGGATGAGTGAAATGGACCTTGTTGCATCCAGGCGCCAGAGGTCGGCGCGCCACAGAAGTGGCGAAGCGCGGGGCTGCATAAACAGTCCAACGTGGTTGGCTGCAGACCGACAGGGGGAGCACACATGGTCGATCAAGAAGGCTGAACCACTCCTGAGTGAACCAGCGGTCCAGAATCCCAACAGGCCAGCGGCAGCGTCAGACACGGCCAGGCTGTGGCGGTGACTGGGGACCAGAAGCCAGGGGTGGAAGCACTCGTGCCGGAACTGGTCAGGACGCACGTCACCTGAGCGCCAGGGTGCCTCACCCGACTCCACGGAACCAGAATGAGAGCCAAAAGCGCGAGGGTCAGAGCGGGGTCGCAAGCACCGAGGGCATGCTCATGGGGTTATGCAAAGCATCTAGAATGTTATGATGTTCACTCCTGCGTCGCCACGCGACGTGCAACCAGATTTGTATTTGTTTTGCTCCCTTGAACTACCTCGGTAAAATCGGCAAACGGGTCCGACCGACCAACCAACCAACCAACCAGCCGACCGCCAAACTAACCAACCAGCCGACCAACCAACCAACCTGCAAACCAATCAACCAACCAACCCACCGATCAACAAAACAATCAACCAACCAACCAGCCGGCCAACCAACCAATGGGGCAACCAATCAAACAACCAACCAGCCAACCAACCAATCGGGCAAGCAAGCAAGCAAGCAGGCAACCAAGCAAGCAACCAACCAACCAGCCCGCCAACCAAGCAGCCTGTCAACATTTTCTGAGGATGGCTCGCACGGCGGTTCCAGGAACGAATGTTTCAAATCTGGATCGTTACCTTACCCCAATAAGCTATTCGCTCCACCCTGAAAGAATAAGTTGCTGACCTTTCTCCCTGCCTTGTATTGGATCCACTTGTGCGGGCACACATGGATGCAATGTGCATCCACGTGTGGATCCACAAGAGGATCCATTATAATACAGACTTGCGTCAGCCGCAGATTTAAATGTTTTATACATGGCATGAACCAACTCGCTAGACGCGTGCGCTAAATGCCTCAGTGGGCGTCCCCGCACTCTGCGCGAGCGCGTTCGGATGCGACGGTCAGCACGGAGCAGAAAAAAACGTGTGAGCGCTCAAGAAGAGGAGGCAGACAAGGAGAGGATCAAACTGCAATTATACGACTTGTCCTAGGATGACGACGAAGCAAGGCAAAAGAGTAATGATTATAGGTGCGCCCTCGCAGCGAGGTGAAGAGGGTTGCTCTATGGAGACATGATAGGAAACAACGCTGCCGGTGAGAATACCCGCCAAGGAGGAGCGAGGGACACGTGCTGCACGCACTCAGCAACAGCGCGAATGCCGCCAAAGAGAGCATTACACAGGAGCGAGAGAGAGGACTGATATTGCACACGAGTGGTTGGAAATCTGATCTTTTTCAACGCTCGAACTCTTTCATTCATGCCGGCGCACGGGGTCTAGGGTCTAGGAAGCCTCGCTGGCGAGGTGGTCGGCCGATCAGCACAACCGACGCCGTGCGTCGGCGCCTGAGGGCTCCCCGAACCTCTGAGGAGTCGGCTGTAGCGGCGGCATCGAGCCAAAGCGCACCGAATAATCCGTCCGCAAGAGAGCGGCGTGACAAGGCAGAGCAGGAAAAATGCCTCCGCCCTTGCAGGTCAGGTCCGGTCAGGTCTAGCCGTGGGCTGCGGCAGCCTACGGGCACGGGCACGTGTAATGTGGGCAGGGAGCTCGTCTTTGACGGCATTCGCCCTGCGGGCTGCACAACGAAGGGACGCCGAGCCGACGAGTCCGCAGCGCCCTGGGGAGGCCCACAGGAGCGGATTCAGGAGGGGACGTCGCAGGGCCGAGCAGGACCTTTAGGGGGGAGGAACACGCTGCTGCGCAGCTAGGAGGGAGCGCACCCGTGAAGCTGTCCAAACAGGGGAGGGGGGGTCACCTCAGCTCCACCCCACCCCTGGACCTCCGATTCTCCTCCTCCTCCGATCCTCCGCCTCCTCCTCCTCCTCCTCCTCCTCCTCCTCCTCCTCCTCCTCCTCCCCTCCTCCTCCTCCTCCTCCTCCTCCTCCCCTGTGGACCTCCCCTGCCCGACCCCCCCCCCCTCCTTGCCTCCGCCCCCCTGGAAGCTGCCCTGCCCCCCCCCCACCGTGGACCTCCCCTGCTGGAAGCCCCCCCCCCCTCTCCTAATTGCTCCGCCCTGCAGAAGCTACCCCCCCCCCCCCTCCCCCCCTATTCACGCTCCGGAAGCTACCCCCTTCGCGGGGAGGGTGAGCTCACCCCCCCCCCTTTGAACCCCCCCTGGCGGAAGCCACCCCCTCCTTGTCCCTTTTTTCCGCCCTGCAGAGGCTCCCCCCCCCGTCCCCCCTGTCGCGCTCCCTCCAGAAGCTACCGTCCCCCCCTTTCCGAAAAGAGCCGAAAACCAAAGGGGCGCCGAACACCAACAGAGCGCCGACAACCATAAGAGAGCCGAAAACCAAGAGGGCGCCGAAAAGCAAAGTAGCAACGAAAACCACAAAGCGCCGAAAACCAAAAGAACGCCGGAAATCTAAGAGGCGCCGACAACCAAAATCGGCACCCAAAATCAGCGGGGCGCCGAAAACCAAAGATGCGCCGAAAACCAGCAAAGCGCTGAAAACCAGAGCGGCTCCGAAAACCAGCGAGGGGCGCCGAAAACCAAAGGGCGCCGAAACCCAAAAGGGTGCCGAAAACCAAAGGAGCGCCGGGCTTAAAAAGAGTGTCGAAAACCAAAGGCGCGCTGAAAACCAAAGGAGCGCCGAAAACCAAAGAGTCGCCGAACACCAAAATTGCACCGAAATCCAAAACGGCGCCGCAAACCAATAGTGCGCCGAAAACCATAAAGGCGCCGAAAACCAAAAGGGCAGTGAAAACCAAAGCGGCACCGAACACCGAAAGGGGTGCCGAAAACCGAAAGGGCAGCCGAAAACCGAAGAAGCGCCGAAAACCATAGGCCGCCGCGCCGACAACAAACGCATCTCCGAAAACGAAAGGGGTTGAACCTACAGGGGCGCCGAAAACCAACGATGCGCCAAAGACCACAGGGGCGCCGAAAATCAAAGGGGCGCGGATACACAACGGGGCGCGGAAACCCAAAAGGGTGCCGACAACCAACGGGGCGCCACCAAAAGGGGCGCCGAAAATCAAACTGGCGCCGAAAACCAAAAAGGGCGCCGAAAATCAAGAGAGCGCCGAAGACCAAAGGGGCTCCCGAGACCAAAAGGGCGCCACAAACCAACATATCGCAACAATCAAAGGGTGCGCCGACAACCAGCGAGGGGCGCCGAAAACCAAAGAGGCGCCAACAACCAAAGGGGCGCAGAAAACGAACGATTAGCCGAGAACCAAAAATGCACTGAAAACAAAAAAGCGCCGAAAGCCAAAGGAGCGCCGAGAACCAAACAGGCGCCGAAACCCAAAAGGGCAGCCGAAAACCAAAGGGGCGCCAAAAACCAAAGAGGCGCCGAAAACCAGAAGGACGCCGAAAACCAGAGCAGCCCCGAAAACAAGAGGGACGCCACAAATCAGCGATGTGCCGGCAACCAAAACCGAAGGGGCACCAACACGACAGGGACGCCGAAAACCAAAAGGGCGCCGACACCAAAAGGACGCCGAGACCCAAAAAGGCTCAGAAAATCAAGGAAGCGCCGAAAACCAAAGAGGCGCCGAGAACCACAGGAGCGCCAAAAACCAAAAGGGCACCGAAAAGGGTGGCCGAACATCAAAGGGGCGTCGGTAACCCAAGAGATGCCGAAAACCATATGGGGCGCCGAAAACCAAAGGGACGCCAAAAACCGAAGGGGGCGCCGAACACCAAAATAGCGCCGAAAACAAAAAGGGCGCCGAAAACGAGAAGGATGCCAACTAAAGGGCCATCGAAAACAAAAGTAGCCCCGAATACCAGAGGGATGCCAGAAAACAAAATAGCCCCGAAAACAAGAGTAGCCGCCGAAAACCATGCGGGCGCCAGAAACCAAAGGGGCGCCGAAAACCAGCAAGGGGCGCCGAAAACCAAAGGGGCGGGCGCCTAAAACCAAAGGGGCGCCGAAAACCAAAGGGGCACCGACAACCGACGATGCGCCGAACACCAAAAGGGCGCCGAAGATCAAAGGGGCGCAGAAAAAAAACAGGCTAAAGGGCGCGGAAAGCCAAGAAGGCACCGAAAACCAAATGGGCGCCACCAAAAAGGGAACCAAAAGGGAACCGAAAACGAAGATAGCGCCGAATACCAAAGATGCGCCCGAAACCAAGAGGGCGCCGCATACCAACTGGTCGCCACAATCAAAGGGTGTTAAGGAAACAACAACAGGCGCACCGAAGACCAAAAGAGCGCCGAAGACCCCAGGGGCGCCGAAACCCGGAAGGGCGCCGAAAACCAAACAGGCACAGAAAACCAAAGAGCGGCGCCGAAAACCAAAAGATGCGCCGAAAACAAAAGAGACTCAGAGAACCAAAAGGACACCAAACACCAACGATGCACCGACACCGATCAGGGCGCCGAAAACCAAAATGGCGCAGAAAACCAAAAGGGCGCCGAAAACAAAAAGATGCACCGACAAGACCAAGACGGCGACGAAAACCAAGACGGCGACGAACATCAAGAGAGCGCCGAAAAAATGTGCGCCGACAACCAACAGGACGCCGATAACCAGAGGGTCGCCGAAAACCAAAATGGGCGCCGATAACCAAAAGGAACGCCGAAACAAAAACAAAGGGTGCCGAACACCACAGGGGCGTCGAAAAACAAAGAAGTGCCGAAAACCAACGATGCGCCGAAAACCCAAGGATTGCCGCTAACCAAAGGGGCGCCGAAAACCAAAGGGGCGCCGAAAACCTAAAGGGGCACCGAAAACCAAAGGGGCGCTGAAAACCAAGTGGGCGCCGAAACTGAAAGGGCACCGAGACCCAAAAGAGCTTGGAAAACCAAAGGGGCGCCGAAAATCAAGAGAGCGCCAGAAACCAAAAGGTCGCCGACAACCAGCAGGGCGCCGAAACCCGAAAGAACGTCAAAAACCAAAGGGCGCCGAAAATCAAAGGGGCGCCGAATACCAAAGAGGCGCCGAGATCCAACGAGGCGCCGAAAACGAAAAGAGCGCAGTCAAAACCAAAGGATCGCCGAAAACCCAAAGGGGCGACGAAAACCAAAAGATGCGCCGAAAACAAAAGAGACGCAGAAAACCAAAAGGATGCCAAAAACCAACGATGCGCCGACAGCGAACAGGGCGCCGAAAACCAAACAAGCGCAAAAAACAAAGAGGGCACCGAAAACCCAAGGGCCGCCGAAAACAAAATGGGCTCCGATAACCATAAGGGTGCCAACAACAAAACGGGCGCCGGAAACCAAATGGGCGCCGAAAAACAAAGGGACGCCGAAAACAAACGCGGGCGCCGAAAACCAAAGCGGCGCCGAAAACCAAAAGGCACCGAACACCCACGATGCGCCGAGCACATAAAGGAGCGCAAAAAAAACAAACAGCGTGAAAACCGAAGGGGACGCCAAAAACCAAACAGGCGCCGAAGACCAAAGGGCGCCGAAAACCAAAGGGGGGCGCCGAAAACCACATGAGCGCCGACAACCAACGATGCGCCGAAAAAAAAAGAGAATCCAACACCAAACGGGCGCCGAACACAAAAATAGACGAAGAAACAACAAATAAGACGGCGCCGAAAACCAAAGGGGCGCCGAAAACTGAAGGGGCGCCGAGCACAAAAATAGTCGCAGAAACAACAAATTAAGACGGCGCCGAAAACCAAAGGGGCGCCGAAAACCAGAGGGGCGCCGAACACCGAAACCAAAAGGGGCGCCAAAAACCAAATGAGCGCCGAAAACCAAAAGAGCACTGAAAACCAAACGGGCGCCGAAAGCCAAACGGGCGCCGAAAACCAAAGGGGCGCCGAAAAACAACGATGTGCCGAAAACCGAAGAGTGATCAGAAAACCAAAGGGGCGCCGCAAACCAAAAGGGGCGACGAAAATCAAAGGGGCGCCAAAAACCAAAAGGAGCGCCTGAAAACCAGAGGGGGCGCCGAAAACCAAAGGGGCGCCGAAAACCAAAGGGGCGCCGAAAACCAATAGTGCGCCGAAAACCACAAAGGGCGCCGAAAACCAAAAGAGCACTGAAAACCAAACGGGCGCCGAAAACCGAAGGGGGCGCCGAAAAACAACGATGTTCCCCAAACCGAAGAGTGATCAGAAAACCAATGGGGCGCCGCAAACCAAAAGGGGCGCCGAAAACCAAAGGGGCGCCAAAAACCAAAAGGAGCGCCTGAAAACCAGAGGGGCGCCGAAAACCAAAGGGGCGCCGAAAATCAAAGGGGCGCCGAAAACCAAAGGGGCGCCGAAAACCAAAGGGGCGCCGAAAACAAAAGAAGCGCCGAAAACCAAAGGGGCACCAGAAACCAAGAAACTTTCGAAAAGCAACGGCGCGGCGAAAACCGAAGAGTGAGCAGGAAACCCAACGGGCGCCGAACACCAAAGGATCGCCGGAAGACACAAGAGCGCCGAAAACCAGAAGGGGCGCCCGAAAACCAAAGGATCGCCGAAAACCAAAGGGGCGCCGAAAACGAAAGGGACGCCGAAAACCACAAAGGGCGCCGAAAACCACGAAGGGCGCCGAAAACCAAAGGAGCGCCGAAAACCAAGTGGGAAAGGTAGCTTCGAAGGCCCACCACGTCAGCCAGGGCCCTCCATTTGGAAATGGCAACAGAAGGAGGGGGTGGTAGCTTCGGAAGCCCCCCCCCTCTTTTGGAAAGGGGGGCCTTGGCTTGTCCTGGGCCTCGACAAGGAGGGGAGGAGGGGAGGAGCTTCCAAGTCCCCCCCGTCATCCAGGCACACCCCAGCAACAAGACCTAAAGAAAAGGGAGAAGGGGAGGGTAGCTTCGGAAGCCCCCCCCCACTCTGAAGAGGAGAGCCTGGGCAAACCCCCGGCCAAGAAAAAGGGGGGAGGGGAGGGGTCGCCTCCAACCAAGCCCCCCCTCATAGCTCGCCCGCCCCCCCTGCTCAAAAGATGCCCACACGAAGGGGGAAGGGGGAGCTTCGGAAGCCCCTCCTCCTCCTCCTCCTCCTCCTCCTCCTTTTCCTTTTCCTGTTCCTGTTCCTCCTCCTCCTCCTCCTCCTCCTCCTCCTCCTCCTCCTCCTCCTCCTCCCCCTCCTCCTCCTCCTCCTCCTCCGTCTCTTTTCCAAGGGAAGGGGGGTGCAGCTTGAAGTTGGGACCCTCCTCTCGGTAATGGGGTGATCCCCACGGTCGCGCTCTCTCGCAGCCAAGCGACTGCAAAGCGTACACACGAGAGGCCCGCGTCGTGCTCACAGCAAGGACGACTGTCGGCTCATTGAGCCCGCGCCGCTGCGGAACAACCGAATCCTCTCACTTCGGGGATGGCCAGAACCCCCTGTCGCAAAACGCGGTGTAGTGAGAATGACCTCGGGCCCAAACCTGTCGGGCGCAAACCTGGAAAATGACGGCCGCGGCGCCCTTTCGAGAACCGAAAACGGACAATCCACGAATCGACGTGTCAGGGTGGGGGTTCTGTCCACCCCCGATCACTACCGATGGCGAAAAAAAAAACGCGCGCGTCAGAGAGCATCATGTGTAAGTGCACCTCGCAGACAAGTGACAAAGCATACTTACTATACTTCTGGCCCACACCCCAATCGCCGGAGGGCGAAGCCAGGTGCCCAAGAGCAGAAATGCACCACAGCGGCAGGGCGGAGGGTGGGATAGAGTCGAACGAGGGCTAAAATGGCCTGGTGCCGCTGGGCGACCGCGCTGCTTGTGTTATCCTGGGGCCCTCTGAGGCTGTCTTGAGCTTGTCTTGAGGCGCCTGGAGCCCCTCTAGAGCTGCGACGGCCGCCCCATGGGCTGACTCGGGGCCGTCCTGGGCCGCCTGGGCGGCTGTCCGACCACTCACTCTCGGAAGCGATTGAGAGCCCCTGGTTTGGGGCGTTTTCTTGGAGCTTCTTGGGGCCTCCTGGGTATTTTGGGGAGGGCGTCTTGGGGCCTCCTGGGGGCGACCCTCGAGGCGGGAGGGCCAACATCGTAGGCGTGGTCCGAGTGTCTGATTGTTTTCGGCTCGTCGGAAGTGCCCTAGAGTGTCGCCTGAGGCACTCTGGGCTGTCTCGAGCGTCTCCTGAGGCGCCTGGAGCCTCTCTGGAATCGTCTGCAACCCCCGGAAGCCGTCTTGGGGGTGACCCAGGGCCGTCCTGGACCGCCTGAGCGGCTGCCCAACTCCTCTGGGAAGCCATGTCGGGCCCCCGTTGGGGACGTCTTGAGGCTTCTTGGGGCCTCCTGGGTGTTTTCTGGGGGCGCGTCTTGGGGCCTCCTGGGGGCGAGCTCGAGGCCTCAGCAGCCAGCCGGAGGCGAAAAGGCCGGAGGGCCAAAGTCATAGATGCCCCAGCAGGTACACCACAGCTTCTGGCGTGGCGGAGGTGTGCTGGAGAGTCGCCCGGGGCCCTCCCGAGCGCCTCGCGAGGCGCCCGGAACCTCGAGGGCCGCCGCGAGGCCTGGCAAGTCCTCTTGGGGGGCGACGCGGGGCCGCTCGAGGCCGCTGGAACGGCTGGCCGACGCAGCTCGCTCTCATAGGGTCGAACAGCTCACTGCACTCTGAGGCCTGTAACGCCTTAGGAGCCTCCGATGGAATCATCCATAGCACAATTTCTTGTGAGGTGGCCTGCTTGCGAGCGACTGCCAACATTCAGATCGACCAGAGCCCCAGCAGAGCCGGCTGCGCCCCCCGGGCCCCGCAGCTGTAAGAGGGGCAACGAAAGGGGGGGCCTGGCATAGAGGGGGGGATGCACCAACCTGGAATCTGCGATACATCGACGACAGATCGGTGATGGGCGCCCGGAAGTAGATCCGAACGTTCCTGGGCAGGTTGGTGCTATCGGGCCCCCATCGGCGATCAATGGGCGATTGGGGGTCGATGCATCCCCCACTGTGCCTATCCCCACATGGTTGCCCCACACTTGTAGTCCAGGTTCCGGCCCCCGTCCTCCCGGTCTGGTCCCTCGTTGTGTGCATAAGCCCTGAGATCCGACGTTGCGAACAGCAATTGCAACATCGCGACAGAACCGCCACCAGAGCCCTAGACCCCATCTACCTGCGTAATCCCACCAGCCCTTTGGGCGTGAGTGGTTTAGCGAGCTCTCTCTGTTCTCAACCCCCCTTCTTCCCCTTCGGGGAGGGGTTTACCCCTCCCCCTACCCCCTCCCCCTGGGCCTGGAGAGGGGGTTTCGCGGGTGGTCAGAGGGTCCGTTTTCGACTCGTGGGAGGGCTAAAATTCGACACCCCTCACGAGGATCGTGGCCCCGACGGGGGTACTGACAAAAATGCTCGCCCCATCTGCGATCGATCGCCCGAAAGATGGCCCCAAGATACCTCCCAGACCCCTCCCACAAAGCCCCAAGAGGCCCCCAAGAGGCCTCCAAGAGGCCCCCAAGATGCCCCCAAGAGGCCCCCAAGAGGCCCCAAGAGGCTCCCCCGAGGCACCCAAGACGCTCCTGGAAGCCCCTGGGGCCGCCAAGAGGCCCCCAAGACGCCCCAAACGGCCTCCAAGAGGCTCCCAAGAGGCCCGAAGAGGCTCCCCCAAGGCACCCAAGACGCTCCTAGAAGCCCCTGGGGCCGCCAAGAGGCCCCCAAGACGCCCCAAAAGGCCTCACGCCTCACCCACGAGGGGCCCGAACGACTCACACCAGGACGAGGGGCCCGAACGACTCTCACCACGAAGAGCCCGAACGACTCACACCAGAAGGAGGGGCCCGAACGACTCACACCAGGACGAGGCGCCCGAACGACTCACACCACGAGGAACCCGAACGACTCACACCACGACGAAGGCCCCGAACGACTCACACCACGAGGAGCCCGAACGAGTCACACCAGGAGGAGGGGCCCGAACGACTCACACCAGGACGAGGGGCCCGAACAACTCACACCAAGAGAAGCCCGAACGACTCACACCAGGACGAAGAGCCCGAACGACTCACACCACGAAGAGCCCGAACGACTCACACCAGGAAGAAGGGCCCGAACGACTCACACCAGGACGAGAAAACCCAAACGACTCAAACCACGAGGAGCGCTTTCTCTCCCTCCTCCTCCGCCTCGTCCTTCTCCCGCTCCCACCACAAGGAGGATATACAAGGAGGCGGGAGGAAGGAGGAACAGGGGAGATATGCGGGGGCAGGCGGAAACACGCCTGAAAAACACGACTGTCGGCATGCTTCGCAAGAGTTGCTGTTTTGAGATGGGCTGGTGGGGATACGCGAAGCGTGAAGAATTTGTGTTGTGTCCTTAATCAGCTATCATACATGCATATATATACATACATACATACAT